ATAATGTACAGACATCGACCTGTTACAATTTTATTATATGTATAGATGAGAACTCTTAATATCGTTTATATATATATTAAAGAGTAGGGGTGCCAAAACTGAGCCATGTGGTAAGCCGATGTCTACGGCTATCTTACTAGATATCTTTGAATTAACTATTGTTTGTTGCCTACGATTACAAAGAAAGCTTCTAAACCAGTCAAGCTCAGTGTTTTTTATGCCAATGTATTTTAGCTTATCCAACATTCGGACCCTATCAACTGATTCAAATGCTCTTTTAAGGTGAATAACCACTGCTACTATATTAAGGTGGCAGTTAAGATCTTCTTTCCATTGAGAAGGCACCAGGTTCAGCGCAGTCTCACAGGAATGTTTAGCTCTGAATGCAGATTGTTCTTTTACGAGTATTTTATTGGATTCCACATAGTACTGTAGCTGGGTTTTCACAACGGTTTCTAGCATTTTTTCCAAGCTAGGGAGAGTATTGATGTTGTAGCAGCACGTCGTCCCCGAATGGGTTGGTAGTTTATTCATCTTCGTCTTCCCCATCTGACTCCTCCAACCTTAGGCCCAAGAAGCGAGCAGTCTCGTTAGGTTGAGTTCACAGCGCTTCGGGTGTCAGATGGGTGGGATATGTAGGGCATGCGAACAGGTGTGCGGTGTTGTGTGGACCAGTTCCGCGTGCTGGGCAGGTGTCAGCGATCTCTGGGTCTAGTCAGGTCCTGTATGAATTTAAGCGACTGCACCAGCCAGATCTAAGTTGCGCCAGTGTGGATCTAGTTTCGCGCGGGAGCTCAAATTCGCTCATATCGATGGGAGGCGGCCGGCCACCGAGGACTATGTTTTCGTGGCGTCCTCGTGTTGCGGTGATAACTGCTTCGCGATGAAGGTTGTTGATTCCCTCAAGGTATGCCTCGCGGCTCAGTGGTGAATGAAGTTGATGGTCGATGTCTACTTCTAGATGACTGAGGTGTCTCCTTACGTGTCTTGGTGGTGCAGCACTCGGAGTCAGACCGCCTAGCAGTAACTGTCTTGACAGCAGCATATTGTGTTCCTTTACCCGGAGCAACGTAGTCTCGTCGTGTAGGTGTTATTCGGCGGACATAAGGAGACACCCTGTCGCGGTTCGTAGAGCGGCATTTTGGCATGTCTGTAGGTTTTTCCACTGCATGTCACTCGTGCCTACTGTCCACACTGGGCCGATCGCTTTATATGTCACGAGCAGAGTTTCTTTATCTTTTCCCCAAGTGCTGCCGGCGAGCGACTTGAGGACTTTATTTCTACTTCGCAGTTTCTTTCAAACAGTGGTGGTGTGTGCTGAGGACATGAGGCTGTCGAACGTGACGC